CTTCCGCGCGTCGCCAGAGCTGCTGCGCCGCTGCGCCACGCTCGTCACGATGTCGGGCAAGGACCAGGCGCTGCCGGCGTGGGAGATCCACGACTACCTCCGCGCCCACTTTCCGGAGATCGAGGTGAGGATGGACCCGGGGCTGGAGCACGGCGGTTTCCTCCTCCCCTTCGTGCCCGGCTGGCTGGCGAGGAGCGTCTTCGAGGCCGTGCTCACCTTTGTCGGTGCCTCCCCGCCCAGCCCGGCGCTGCCGAGAGTCGCTTCTCTTCCTGGCGTGGGGGGCGCCCCGATGGCAGACCGCTCCCCCTGCCGGCGCGGCGCCGGGTGTGGACGACTCCCCTTCACAGCGGCATGCTGTGAACAGGTCGACGGCTCTCCCGCGGCGGAGCCGATGCTGCGGCGGAACCGAAGCCGCTCGTCGAGCCGACTGGTGTGAGCGAAGCGACCGGGAGCCGGTGTTAACTACGGGGACGGCGTCTCATGGTCGCAGCCGCATGGCGGAGGCTGGCCGCAGCGAGAGTTGCGCTCAACAGAGATTGGCGGGCGGTGAATCAGTTGTACACTCGCAGCCAGTTTGATTCCCCGCACCACAACAGCCGCGCAGTCCCCTGCGCGCTGAGCCTGCGGCGCGCGGCACACGTACGGCTTTACGAGTCTTTTACTTTTTGAACATACTCGAGGGAGATGAAGGTGTCAGTGCCACTATGCGTGCCCCTCTGGCTCACGCTCAGAGCTCCGCCACGTACATCGACCCGCGGTGCTCGTTCACGGGCGATTCCGACCGCGTCGACGCCGGCACCAAGCCGATGCTCATGCTGTCTGGCTGCGTGCCCGCCAGCCCTCGCCGGAGTGAGTACACGTCCTCCGAGCTCAGTCGCCGCGAGGCCCCGCCCTCGCCCACGCCGTTAGCATGGCGCCACCGGGGCCGATGCGACCGCTCACCGCGCCGACGGAACCGCGGCTCTGCCTCTCCTTGGCGCTGGTGGTTGGCAAGCCGCCCTTTCGGCTGTCGTCCTCCGAGCCGTCCTCCGGCGTCGGGGCCGCAGACCCGTCGAGCCCGGCGTCCGAATACTCGATCTGATACCTGCCGGCAAGAGCCGAGGCATGTCCGAGGTATGACCGAAACGATTAGAAACGATTGTGTAGCCGAGGCGTAGCCGAGAAGGAGAGGAGACACGTCGCCGAGACGACAGCCGAGATCGTATCCCCGCGCATTCTATCTCAACGACCGCTCGGAACCGTCGCCCCTGCTCCGCTTGCGGCGGCAATAGCAGAGCCAGAGGATTAGCGTACCGCCGCAGAGCAGAAAAACGACGGCAGTGGCGACGCATACGATGAGGATGACGCTGCCTGTTATCAGCTGTTGTCGTAAGAGTCGCTGCTCTGGGCGAGCGCGGCTGAGGCAGAGGGGTGCTGCCCTGTCCGATGACTGTGATGCCGTGGTGGTCGGGCCACCTGTTAACATGCGCCGATTAAAGGTACGCTGCCACAACTTTGTCTCGATGCCGTGTGGGTCGGGTCGCCTGGGTTGCGGAGGAGGCGCCGGAGGCGGCGGCGGCGGCGGCGGCGCAACGACCGTCTCCGTGCGCGAGGGCGGGGAGTCAAAGCTGACGGTGGCGCCGAGGTCGTCGGAGAGGGTCGCGAGGAACGCTGGCTGCGTCGCCGCCCATAAGATGAGGTCGAGGCTGTCGTGGTGGCCTGTTCGGAGATGAGTGTTCTGAAGAGATCGCCGATCCGTTCCAGAACTGCTGTATCGTCGGAGTGGGGCCGCCGCAGTTGGGGCAGTCGAGGACGCTGACCGAGACGCCCGCGTGGATGACGTTGCCGAGGAGACCAAACAGCGTGAAGACGCCCCCGACGACGGTCCCCGCGTAGTCGGAGCCGTTGTAGGTCACCTCGCTACTGCTTGGAGCGAGGAGTATCTGACTCTCGGCGACGGTTGCCCCGGCCGCCTTGAAGCTCGCAACCAGCGCCTGCTTCAGCTCGGCGTCGCTAAAGGACGACTGCGCGCGCCGCCTGTGCGACGCCGGGCCTCCACCACCACCCGCACTCAGCGACTCTCGGAATTCATTGGCCGCCTCTTTGGCGATGTGCAGCGTGAAGGAGCAAGACGGCAGCAGCGCCTCGCCTGGACGACGCGGCGATGGTGGCTGCGAAGGCGGCAAGGGCGACGGCGGCGGTGGCGGGGACGGCGGGGGCCTTGGTGGTGGCAGTGGGGGAGGCAGTGGCGACGAAGAGGGCGGCGGCGGCGAGGGCGGCAGCGGCGGAGAGAGGGGCGGCGAGGGTGGGTTGTGAAGTGGCGGCGGCGGGGGTGTGGGCGAGGACGGCGGGAGCGACAGGGGTGAGGGCGGCGGTGGACTGGGCGGCGTCGGCAGCGGCGAGGGGGGCGGGGGGGAAGGTGGCGGCGGTAGCCGAGGCAAGGGCGAGGGTGGCGGAAGAGATGGCGGTAGCGGCGACGGCAGAGGCGGCGGTGGCAGTGGCGACGGCGACGGCGGGGGTGGCGACGGCAGAGGCGGCGGTGGCAGCGGCATCGGCGACGGCGGGGGTGGCGACGGCAGAGGCGGCGGTGGCGACGGCAGAGGCGGCGGTGGCAGTGGCAACGGCGACAACGATGGTGGAGTAGGCGATGGAGAGGGCGGCGGCGATGACGGAGCAGACGGAGATGGCGCCGGCGACGGGCTTGGCGTGTCGCTTGCTGGGCACTCCCACTTTGCCGGATCGCTCGAACACTGGCCGCAGCCATCGCAGCCTGGGCAGACCTGGTTCCACGTGCCGCACTCGCCGGCTGCCGGCGACGGCGACGGAGAAGGCGACTGCGACGGCGACGGCGATGGCGACGTAGAGGGGGAGGTTGCGCCATCGCACTGGTAGTCGATAAAGCAGAACCAGGGGGCGCTCCCCGTCCCGCCGCAATCGCCCTCGATGGCGCACGGAGCGCAGGCGTTTGCTGGCGCCTCGGAGCTGCAGTGCGGCGACGGGGTTGGGCCAGGGGAGGGGGACGGGGAGGGGATGACGCCGCCGGTGAGCATTCCAAGGTACCTGCGATAATTCTCGCGTCGCACCGCGTGGCCGGAGCCGGTCCAGGTGCCCTCGCCGTCCACCCACGGGCCGCTGCAGCCGTTTTTGATGCACGCCATCGCCGTGTCGACAACGTGGTCCTGCATGTACGCGTCGTGCACGTTCTGCATCCAGTAGGCGAGCGAGCCGCCCCAGAAGGACTTCCCGTTGTCACAAATTGAGGAGGGGTCGGCGCATATGTCAATACCTTGTCCAAGCTCGCTTAGAAGGACGTTCGCCTTGGCATAGTTGCAGTTCCAGGTTAGCTGGATGGCGCCCCGCCCGAACCAGCACGAGGTCCCCGACAGCGGGCGGTCTGCCCAGTCCGTGCACGTTGGTGACGTGCCGCACGCATTGGCGGGCAGGCTGCCGCCCTTGCTGAATGAGTCGCTGCTGACGATGGGCGTCTGATAGCATGTGCCCCAGTTTTCATCCGCATAGTCGTCGGGTGCGCCACCCGAGCAGATGTGATTCCACTCTCCATTTGAGAACTGGGCGGGACACGGAGCGACGTACTCGCCGCACGCCTGAAAGTTGGCCGACTCCTGAGCGGCGTTGCCGAGAAACGCCGAAAGCGTCAGGATGTTGTTGCCGTCGCTCGCCTCGGCTAGAAACGGCTTGGCGGGAAAGCGTGCGTTCCACGCAACGACGACGTCGCACAGCTCCTCCCACGTGGCGCGCGGCGATGAGAAGAGAAAGTCCGTGTCCGGGTCGATGCCGCGACTGGTGATGGTGGCTTGCACGCTGAGCTGGTCGCAGCTAGAGGCGGCAGCACCGCCGCTTTCTGCAGTGCAGGACTTTGTCCCTTCCGTCAGCGCAATGCAGTCTTGCGCAGTTGAGCAGAGTCCGCCCGTCTGTCCGCACGAGTTTCCAACCGTGCACCATCCCTGAGGGCTGCTACTCTGCGTGCCACAGGCCGGCCCGCCAACGTCCAGACCGGCGGATGCGCAAGCTCCATCATCGCAGCAGCCCTTACACGTTGAATACTCTGAATTGGACTGCATGTGTCGCCTGCTAGTCAGGCCTGCCTCTGTCTCCAGCCGGCGGCCGTCGCGCACAAAGTACTGCCAGCAGTCGGTGTGGCATTGGCACATATCATCATCGCGGAACTTTGGGTCACGGAGGTCGGCATTGTCGCAGTTGCCGTTGGCAGCGGTGACGGTCTCAGGCACGAGCAGCGCGGCGAGGAGCAGGACATGATCCAGCACCGGCATATTGTGACATGTCTGTCTCCAGCAGGTTAGGTTGTACGAGAGGGCACTCTATGGGACGCGCAAGCGCGGGAGGACGGACCTCGGGGACGCAATCGTGCGTGTTCAAATGAAGAAAACACGTGCACGCATAATGCGCTGGTGCGAGCACAACATCCTCCCGCCGCTCCCCGCGCCAACCGCCGCCAGGCGGTCACACATGCAGAAACGGGATTCGTGCGCCACGGGGGCCGGCGCCGAACGGGCGCCGAGCACCGCTTGCGACGCAAGTTGGTGGAAAGTGAGGCTGCCCTCCCGACGGAGCATGACAACCGGGCCCGGTACTGACCGCCGCCGCCCGCCTCACGCCGCCGCCAGCGGGGAGAGAAGGGAGAGGAACGCCTCCGCGTTCAGCAGCTCCGTGCATCCGTACACCACCCGCCGCGCTGGCCCGGCCGACGAGGGCTGCTTTGAGCGCTCGCGCAGCGTCATGTGCTCGAGATGGTTGCCTATGAGTGAATCACAGCGCTTAACTACGCAATAATTGATGGGCCAGCGTCATGTGCTCGAGATGGTTGCCCGGCCCAACCACAAACACAATCGCAGCGCCGTACGGGCCGCGGCCGCGGCCGGTTGCGGCGCCGGCGCCGTCCGTGTCGCCGATCTTTGGGTCGATGTAGCCGTACGCCCCCTCCTCCGCCGCACCCTTGTTGTCCATCAGCGCGCCCACCGCGCGAGTCACCTATTCACAGCTGCACTATTCACAGCTGGACTATTCACAGCTGTGAATAGGCGCCCACCGCGCGAGTCACCTATGAGTACTCGTGACCCGAGCATTAGCACAATGCCTGTGATCGATCAACCGCCCGACCGCCTCGAGTCACCGGTGTCTCGCGCTTCGACGGCAGCATCGTCTTTAGCCCGGCGGCTAGCGCCGACACGCCGGTGTCACCCACTCGCCGCGCGAGCGACATGAGGCCGCCGAACGTGTTTGCCGCCGGCGGGGGAGGAGGCGTCGCTGTCGGCGGCGCCGCGGCCTCAGCAAGCGAGAGGAGGCGGCGCAGCCCTTGCAGCGGCCGCAGATCGGCGCCTGCCGCCGCCAGACGCGACTCGAACTGCTCAGCCTCGCCGGGCGGGAAGGTGCCTGTTCACAGCGCGGGGCTGTGAAGAGACGCCGTTCACAGCTCCGCCTCGCGGCGCGGGAAAGCGCGTCTGCCTGGCTGCAAGGAGCGGCGAAGAGCGACGAGCAGCAGCAGTCTCAGCCGGTCCTCGGCAGTGCCGCCCTGCGCCTCCGCGCCGCCACCAGTCGGGTCGAGTAGCTGGGAGAGCGTCTGCCGGTCGTCCGCAGAGAGCGCGCGCCCTTCGAGCAACGTCTCCTCGAGCGCGTAGAACGAGTCGAGCGATCGCGCCTTGATCTGGCCGAGCATCTCGGTGGCGAGGCTGGTGTGCATGTCGAGCAACCGCTTCTTCTCCTGCAGCTCCGGCAGCTGCGCAATCGTCGACTGCAGCGCCTTGGTGGCATTGCCCAGCGCCTATTATAATGAATTAATTAGTTCAGATTAATTAATTAATTAATAGCCACAGCCTTGGTTGCGTTGCCCAGCGCCTCCGCCTCCAGCGGCGCCGCGCCGCCCGCGCTGATCTCGTCCATCGCCTTGCGGTACTGCTGCAGCCGCTCGTCGACGTCGGAAGCGACGACCTGATTGATGACCACTTCTTCTCAAGAGCGATTGATTCACTGAGTAGCCGCTCTTCGACGTCGGAAGCGACGACCTGATTGATGATCACTCCTTCTCAAGAGCGATTGATTCACTGCTGCAGCCGCTCGTCGACGTCGGAAGCGACGACCTGGAACGCCGACCCCATGTGCTCCTATTGATCACTCACAAGCGAGTCAGCTCCGCCTCTTCCTCAAGGCGTGGAACGCCGACCCCATGTGCTCCTATTGATCACTCACAAGCGAGTCAGAGCTCCGCCTCTTCCTCAAGGCGTGGAAGGCCGACCCCATGTGCTCCTATTGATCACTCACAAGCGAGTCAGCTCCGCCTCTTCCTCAAGGCGTGGAACGCCGACCCCATGTGCTCCTATTGATCACTCACAAGCGAGTCAGCTCCGCCTCTTCCTCAAGGCGTGGAACGCCGACCCCATGTGCTCCGTCCAAAAGGCGTCGCTCTCGTGCAGGTCGTACGAGCGGGCACGCGACCCGCCGCCATCCACCGCCTTGCACGCACAACCGAAGGGGTCACGACTTCATTCCAGTAGTCTCCTCCGCTTCAGACACTCCGCCGCCTCGCTGAGCGAGACACGGTTCAGCCGCAAGCCTACTCAGTAATTAATTAATATTAACTCATTACTTAATTAACGCGCGAGACGCGGTTCAGCCGCAAGCCTACTCCGTAATTAATTAATATTAGCTCATTACTTAATTAACGCGCGAGACGCGGTTCAGCCGCAAGCCTACTCAGTAATTAATTAATACTAACTCATTACTTAATTAATGCGCGAGACGCGGTTCAGCCGCAAGCCTACTCAGTAATTAATTAATAGTAACTCATTAATTAATTAATGAGCGAGACGCGGTTCAGCCGCAAGCCTATTCAGTAATTAAGTAATATTGACTCATTACTTAATTAACGCGCGAGACGCGGTTCAGCCGCAAGCCTAGCGCACAGCACGGCAGTGAGTTCGAATGGTGTGGAGCAGGGGTGCGAGATGCTGCCAGATGAGGCGGGCCGAGCAGGTCGTGTGCGAGCGAAGAGTACGACCAGCCATGCTGCAGCATCGCTCCGACGTCCTCGCTTCGGTCCACCAGCAGCAGCAGCGGCCGCTGCAGCGACGCGGCGGCGGCGCCCGAGAAGAGCGACGTGTGCGACCTGAATATTGATTACTCAATTACTTAATTAATGTAAGCGGCGGCGCCCGAGAAGAGCGACGTGTGCGACCGCAGCTGCGCGTGCAGTCTCGCGCCCAGCTTCTCCGCCACCGCCTGGGCGGGGAAGGGAAGGGAAGGGAAACTTCTCAACACACTGAGGCAGTAGTACTTAATATTAGTACTAAGGAAGTAAGATAATACTAATGATGATACTAATGACAATACTAATGACAATAACAATGATAATAATGCCAATAATGAACCGCCGCCTGGGCGGGGCCTCGGCGCGAGAAGCGAAGGACGGGCACAGCGCCGAGCGTCACGAGGACAGAGAAGAGGCCCGAGGCAACCTATTAATTCATTAAGCAATCTTAACTAGTTAGTTAATAGCGTCACGAGGACAGAGAAGAGGCCCGTGGCAACCTATTAATTCATTAATCTAGTTAATTAATAGCGTCACGAGGACAGAGAAGAGGCCCGAGGCAACCTCGTCCACCGCCGCCTCCACCTCGGAATCGGTCGACTTGGGCGAGAGGAGGGCGGGGTAGGCGCGAGGCAGCTGCAGCGAGAAGAGGTCCTAACAGTTGATTACTCTTCAATCAATCAGTAGCCAGGGGGTAGGCGCGAGGCAGCTGCAGCGAGAGGAGGGAGAGGGACCTCCTCTAGCGACACGAAGGAGAGGTACCTGTTTCACAGCGAGAGGTGTGAACATGGCGTATCAAGGAAGTGTCTAGGAAGTGTCAGAGGTACCTGTTTCACAGCGCGAGGTGTGAACTCTTCAAAGGAGTCAACTGCGAGTGCATCATACTCTCTCTCTCTCTCTCTCTCTCTCTCTCTGCTCTCTCTGTCGATCTTTCGGAGGCACTGGTCGACGACGCGAGAGACGTGTCTAGGAAGTGTCTAGGAAGTGTCTAGGAAGTGTCAGCAAGTAAATAGGAAGTGTCTAGGAAGTTCACTGGTCGACGACGCGAGAGACGTGGCTGACGACCTCCGCCTCGAGCGTCTCCGCGGCGAGCGCCTCGAGCAGCGGTCGCGGGATGGAGGGCGTGAAGTTCAGGTGGAACGACTCGTACAGCCCTCCCGCCACGTCGGCCGCGACGCGGCGCGCGTTTGCGGCGGTCGGGCGGAGGAAGTAGACGGCGGGGACGTCCGCGATCTGCTCCCGCTCCGCGTCCAGGAGGAGGTGCAGCGTCACGCCGCGCTTGCGCAGGTCGCCGACCTTGAGCAGCGGGGAGATGACGTCGCGGCAAAACGAGTCGTACACGAGCACTTTCCACGGGTCGTGCCATCCGACCCCGGAGGCGTCCGCCTCCTCCCGGTCGAGGTTGATCATGCGAGAGATGGCGCTCAGCTGCCGCGAGCGCAAGGCCCACGGATTGTCGGCGGCGGCACTCAGCGGCGGCGCCATGAGGGGTTGGCGTCGGCGCGTCAGCGCCCGGTTGTTGTGAGCTTGTTCTGCCTGGAAAAAAGAAACATGAAAGTCCTCCATGCGGTTCGGCCTTGACGTCTGGGCTGCACTGCACGTGACTTAATCCCTCGCCAGAGCTCGTCCAGGAGGCGCGCGCTGAGAGTGGCAGAGCGTTCAGAAGCATAAAACTGCGCAGAACGACGAAGATGCTTCTCTGGTGCAGCTCGCAAAACCCACACTGGACAATATTTTTTATGCGATACGAAACACACACTGAGTTTGCGATTGCTGGAGGCCATTGGAGCGTTTGATGCCTCAGCTTGGCTCCTCCCTATGGCTATGCAACCCCTCCGCTTCCCTCCGCTGGCCCTCTCTATCATTCCCTCTGGCCTGAATGCCGCCCCAAGCATCGTTCGTTCATCAGAGCTACGAACCGAGGATGTCTGCGTGGCTGTGAGGACCTCTGCCGTGAGGACCTCTTAACTTTCAATCTGAGGACCTCTGATGTGGTCCTCACAGAGGTCCTCACACGGGTCACAATTTCTGAGAAGCACGCCGTGCATATGCCTGCCCCCCCCAACCCCCCCCGCCCGCCCGCCCGTTTGCGACGTCCTTTCGAGAGGCGGCTCCAGAGTGTCCATCGCAACTCGTTCGTTCGTGGCGGTACGCAGGAGCACTACTCTACGGCGTTCGTTGAAGGAAAAAAGGTCAGTTTTTGTTTTTTCGTATGTATGCGGTAGACGAGAACAAAGCGCTTAGGTTGCCGGCGGGGTAAGTAGGAGTTAGTTAGAAGAGGTGAAGAACAGTCTGGGAGGACCCCGGCCGGCAGCCACGCCCACTGCCACGGGCAGACGGTGCGCGATTTCTTTTTTCTTCGCCGCTTCCGGTAAGAGCCGACAACAAAAGATAAGAGCCAAATACACATGGTCTGGTTGATAGAAGATGAAGAATAGTCGGGCCCGGACTGGAGCGACCACTATAGAGCGCGGTCTATGTGGACAGCCTCTCTGAAGGGTCAATTCCGACCAGAGCTCTCGGAGGTCCTCACACGAGTCAAGAGGTCCTCACACGGGTCAGCTCTGAAGCAAAGGCGCCGCGCGTGCTCAATTTGTTATGAGGGGCAGTTCTATAATGTCGGTCCATCGCACATCTCGTTCGTGGTGAGAGGCGTGCAGCGGTCCGGGAGCGTCGAGCGAGTTGGGTCTCGAAGGTAAGTGTCAAACACACAATTTTGGGGCTGTCCGTTGGCGCGCCGCAAAGCGAGCGACCATGTCAATGAGAGAGTCCGGACATCTACCCCGCAGTGAGAACCGCTAGGTCGCACCGATTTCTTTTTCGCCGCTCGGATCAGAGTCGGCAGCGCGCCTCACCGCTGCTGCACCGTTCTAGACCAGCAGTCTCATGTTCATGACCTCACGACAAAGAGCTCTCGGAGGTCTCGGAGGTCCTCACACGAGTCCTCTGACTCTCAAGAGGTCCTCACACGGGTGCGTCAGCTCTGAATGAAGCGTCCCTAAATCCCATCTCGTCTCAGAGACAGTTTGACCTTTTGATTTATTTAGTTACTTCGTAACTCAAAGGAATTAACTACGAACCTTATAGCTCTCACTCGTACGACCTCAGAAGTGGCAACCGAGCCCTGCGTCGCAGTATGAATCGGCGTTCGGGCCGGCCGCCGTCTCGCGTCGCGTCTTGGCTATGAACGCGTTGCTTAGGCCCGGCGGCTTGCCTGGCGCGCCGACGCTGACGTTCTTCGCCCGGCTCGCCGCAAACTCATCCACGGCTCGCCTGACACCGGGGAAGGTCATGCCGGCAAACGAACGAGGGCCGCCATAGTCGTTGAAGATTAGCACGCCCCCCGGGGCCACCAGAGGCCAGTACGCCTCGGCGTCGGCCTTGGTGCCCTCGTAGGTGTGCAGGCCGTCGATGAAGGCGACGTCGACGGAGGCTTTAGGGAAGGCTGCTCCGAGGAAGGGCGCCTGTTCACAGGTGGAGGTGTGAACAGGAAATGTCTAGGAAGTGCCCATGTGCCCTCAGGATGGGCGCCGCGTCTTGCGACCTCATGTGGAAAAGGCGGTACCTGCGCGAGCAACGCGGCCTCATCAGGTGCGCGCTGCCTTTTGCCGCTCGGCGGTCGGAGCGGGCCACGCGGCACTTGCTAGACACTTCCTAGGCACTTCTTGGACGCGACTCCTAGACACTTCCCCGCTCGGCGGCCGGAGCGGGCCACACGGCACGGTTGCAAGGGGGGGTGGGGCGGCAATGCAGCCTGCACGAGCCGTGCCTGGCCGTCAGGTCGTAGGCCATCCCACTGGCCCACGCCACAGAGAGCTCCGTCTTGTTCAGCCCGAGCTTGCTCGCGATGGCGGCCATGGCGTGAGCGTGCCGGTCGCTCGGATCGTAGCCGGACAAGAACGGGTCGACCGCATAGAGCTGGGCGCGTGGCAGGCGCTGCAGCAGGTAGTTCGCTAGACCACCTATTAACGAGGGTTGTCAAAGAACGCTCAACGACTCGTGCTCACCATGCGTTAGGCGGGCGAGCAGAGCTGACACGCCGAACGCTGTGCCAACCTCGACAATCCGCAGCGGCTGCTGGAGGTCGGGAGCTCGCTTAGCTATGAACTGGAACACGTCGTTGTAATACTGTTGGCTCCACGCCTTCCTGGCGCGCCAGTAGAGCACGTGATCCGTCAGAAGCTTCATCCAAGGCGCTCCAGACTCCGGTGCGGTGGGCGCCACAAACTGACCGGCCTCGGGCGCACACGCAGGAGGCGAGCCAATACTGGCCAGCATTGCGAACATGTGCATCCTCGCTTGTTTGGATGACCGTTTTGCTGCTTTCGCGTTTCGCTGCTTTTGCGAGGTGCCGGCGAGGCCTAGGAATATCGAGACCCGTGAGACACGACTCGCAAAGAAAAGAAATACGCGAAAAAAGAGAATCTAAAAGATATACTAGAAGAGGCTGGCAGCAAGGGCCGCACCACAGAAAGGTGTTGAGTTTCATAGTCAGTATTCATTAGAGTTCGTAGATCGCTTTCCCTGAGCCGTGGCACCACCATCCGCCACTCGAGACTCACCTGCACTGTAATTCATACTAGCACGCCCTTGTTCAGAGTAAGCAAAGGAGCGACAGACGAGCGAATTTTGTTTGTGCTGACGACCTCGATATTTGAGAGTGAGGACCTCGGGGTGCACTGAGGACCTCTGCGTGTGAGGACCTCTGGCCTTTCCGCTTTCGGTACACCGACGTCTGGCGGCGTGCGAGCGTCCGAGAAAATCATTGATAAGTAGCGTGTTGAGCCGTGGGTGGGACTCGAGGGTGGACGGCGTCTTATGTGCTGAGAATTTTACCATGTGCTGAGAACCTCCAGTTGAGGACCTCTGCAACAGTGCTCTGTGCTGAGGACCTCGCTGAGTGAGGACCTCCGGCATGCTGCTAGAGTCGCGCGGCGTGGAGTAACTCCACTGCAAGCACACGCCGCAACGCCGCTCTGCGGTTAGCCAGGCAAGGCGGATGAAGACCAGATACCATTTTTTAGTATGATTGTTGCGTGTGGGAGATCACTTGTCAGGCACATGAGATCACTTGTACATGAGAAGGAATGAACTTCGTGAGGAAAGGGCGGTCACCTCTGTTTGTGCAGCTCTTTCACCGCCGAAAGCCGTTGTACATCGCTCAAGTTTGGTTGGTATGAATGTATGTATGTAGGAAGGTGAAGAACAGTCAGGCTGGACTGGACACCAACGCGGTATGGGTGGAAGCGGGACAGATGACGACGACACGCTCGAGCGACACACAGACACTCACAAGCTCACAAGACACACAGCCAGCTGGGCTGGCACGCACCCCGAGTGGACGTACACAATAGTTCTGAAGACCAAAAATGTTGTGCCGGCCTGGCGAGGTCCAGCGTGCTGGTGGGTGCCACAAAGCTGGCTCGTAGAGAAAAAGAATAGAGAAAAAAGAATAAGGCAGAATCCGGCGAAGCACCTTAGAAGCCACACTTCTCGAATGCCAGTATTGTATACGGTGGATGGTCGAGCCCCATCCACCGTAGTGCTTTCCCAGAGCCGTGGCACCACGCCACCTGCCACCAGTCGTGCACGGTTTTTCATACGAGCACACCCTCGGTAGTAATGTTCAGAGTAAAGACAGAGGGGCGAGTTCCAACCTGTTGTTTGTGACGACCTCGATATTTGAGAGTGAGGACCTCTGTGCACTGAGGACCTCTGAGTGACGGGACTTCGGCTTTCGATACACGTCTGGTGCGCGGCGTGCGAGCGTCTGAGGAAATAATCCGTTGAGCCGTTGTGAGCCGTTTCATGTGGCTGCGTGGGTGGACTCGAGGGTGGACGGCGTCTCATAATATTTGTGTCTGTGGCTCTTCTCGTGTTTATGTGCTGCGAGGACCTCTCCAGTTGAGGACCTCTGCAACAGTGCTCTGTGCTGAGACCTCTGAGGACCTCCGGCATGCTGCTAGAGTCGCGCAGCGTGGTCCAGTTCCACTGCGAGCTCACCCCGCATCGCCCCTGCGATTAGCCAGGCAAGGCGGCCAGAAGACCGCACCCCCAGATACCATTTTTTTAGTATGATTGTTGGCGTGTGGGAGATCACTTGTCAGCTGTTGTACATGAGAAGGAATGAACTTCGTGTCTGAGGAAAGGGCGGTCGCCTGTTTGTGCATCTTGGTCAAGGCGAGGAAATGCGCTGTTGTACCACGTTCAAGTGTTTGGTATCTGAAGACCAAATGTTGTTGCCTCAATCAGCTCCCTACAATAACATTTTGCCTCCCCGTGTTTAGCGTGCTGTTCCACGTGTCCCTCCGACTATTTTTCTCCATCGCATCCAATTCTTCCTGAGACGCGCGAGAGCAGGTGTTTCGTTTCTTGTGTTTAATTCTTTTTTACGAGCAATGGCGGCCGGCTGAGTGAGTGAGTGTGACACACACACACACTCACAATGGCCGCTCCGAGCGACGCCCTCTCGAGCACGCTATCTGCGGCGCTGGAGCAGGTCAGCGTCGGCAGCGCCGGCAGCACCGTCGCCGCCACCACCACCATTACCGCCCTCGTCGATCCTGCCACTGCTGCCCGCGAGAACGAGACGCTCCTCTCTGCCCTCGAGCTGTCGGCGGCGTCGAGCCTCGAGCACGTGCTCGCACGCGAGGTTGCTGTCTCGTGCGGGCTCGCGGCAGGAGCTGGCGGCGTGCATGGCGGCGGCGGCAGCAGCGGCGGCGTGGTGGACGTACCGCGGCTGCAGGAGGTGCTCCGGCAGGCGGAGGCGAGCATTCAGGCGACGCCCCACGCCTGGGTAAACGTCACGGCGGCGTCGCGCATCTTCGACATCGGCCGCTCCCGCGTGACCGCTGCCCTTGGCGCGGCGGCGACGGTGCAGCGCACGTGTCCAGGACACGTCCACGACATGTCCGAGACATGTCCGGGTAGGCGCGGCGGCGAGGGTGCAGCGAGAGCGTGGACCGAGTCGGAGCGCTTTTGCGGGCGGCGGCTGATGACACCACGCGCCTGTGCGAAGGTGCAGCGCGAGCTCGAGCGGCTCGCTCCTCCTCCCTCCTCCTCGGCTGGTGAGGGGCGGGGCCCGGCGCTGCTGGCTAGGAGCCTTCCGGGAACCTTCCAGGAGCCTTCTAGGAAGAGCGGCGGCTGGCGAGGGGCGGGGGCCGGCACTGCTGGCAAGCCTGGTCTCGTGCAGCCAGGTCCGCTCTTCCTAGAAGGCTCCTAGAAGTTTCCTAGAAGGTTCCTGGCAAGCCTGGTCTCGTGCAGCCAGGTTCGGTCTGCCGTCCGCTTACCCGCAGCTGACGACTCTCGGCTGCAGCGGCTGGCGGCGGCGGCGGGCGCGGCGCTGCTGGCGGAGGCCGAGGCAGCCCTCGCCGTCTGCTGCTCCTCCATCACAGGCATATCTCCCCACATCTCCCCACATCTCCCCACATCTCCCCACATCTCCCCACATCTCCCCACATCACCCATCGTTCTCTCGCAGGCATATCTCCCCACATCTCCCCACATCTCCCCACATCTCCCCACATCTCCCATCGTTCTCTCGCAGGCCCCCACACGGCCGAGCGGCAGCAGCGAGGCAGCTTCTCCTCCGCCGCCGCCGCAGCAGCAGAGGCGGCAGAGGCGGCGGCGGCGGCGGCGCTGGCGTCGGTCGATGGACAGTGGGCTCTCGGCGCACGTTGCGAGAGGAGGTCGCTTCGGGCTGTGAACGGCGCCTCTTCACAGCGGCGTGCCGGCTGTGAACACAGGCACGCAGCGGGCGGGGCCCTCTCCGACGGTGGTTCGATGGCTCATGACTTCCTCACCTCCCTACTGATCACTGGACCAGGTATATACACACATATGCAGCGGGGGCGGAACCCCCCCCCCTCTTCACAAACTCCAAAGGAAAAATAAGCCTCAAGTTTTTTCCTGCCCTGTAATCACCATTTTTGCCCCCCCCTGAAAGAAATTGTCTCCTT